AACTTAAATTAAGTAGTTAGTTCGTTCTAAAACTTAAAAGTTAAGGTTCGTTCTCTCTAACTTAATATATAGTTATTCTCTCTAACTTAACTATATACTACTCTCTCTCTCTCTCTCTCTCTCTCTCTCTCTAAAGCTTAAATTTGAGATAAATTCCCTTTAAAAATTTTGAGATAGTTTATCTCTCTAAAAATTTAAGTATTTTTTCTCTCTAAAATTTTAAGATACTTTCTCTCTCTAGAACTTGAAATTTAATATGGTTTTACTCTCCAAAATTTTTCAGATAGTTTCTCTCCCTAAATTTTTTTAGATAGTCTCTCTCTTAAATTTGATATTGCTTATATCTCTAAAATTTTAAGATACTTTCACTTTTAAAAACTTGAAAATTTGAGATAGTTACTCTTACTAAAACTTTCAGATATTTCTCTCTCTAAAAATTTTAGGTAGTTTCTTTCTCTAAAATTTGATATAGTTTCACTCTCTAAAATTTTACAATACTTTCTCTTAAAAATTTGGAAATTGAGCTAGTTTCTCTGTCTAAAAATTTAACGTACTTTCACTCTAAAATATGATATAGTTTATCTCTCTAAAATTTTAAGATTTATTTTCTCTAAAATTTGAAATTTAAGATGTTTCTCTCTATAAAAATTTTGGGTTGTTTCTCTATCTAAAATTTGATATAGTTTCTCTTAAATTTTTTTTGTAATTTCTATCTCTAAAATGCGATGGTTTGTCCCTCTAAAATTTTAAGATAATTTCTCTCTCGGAAACTTTAAATTTGATATAGTTTCTCTCTTTAAACAATTTGAGATAGTTTCTCTCTCTGAAATTTTTTAGTAGTTTTTATCTCTAAAATTTGATGTAGTTTTTTTTTTTATAATTTTAAAATACTTTATCTCTCTAAAACTTAAAATTTGAGGTGGTTTCTCTCTTAAATCTTATCTTTCTAAAACTTAAAATTTGAGGTGGTTTTTCTCTTTAATTTTTAAGGACATGTAATCTCTAACATGGAGATCATGAATATGAATAAATAAATAAATTTTAAAAACTAAAAATAATAATTATAGTAAGAAAACATTTAGACGGTTGGTTTCCATTATTTTTAAAAACACCTATTTATATCTATCTTTAAGATGGATACTTTACTCTTTCTAGATTGTTTGTGTAGAAATGTGACCCAACACACATGAAACAATTTTGCTTTTTTTAAAGCAGTCTTGCCCTTCCCATTGATGGAATATTAAAGCAGCCTTGCCCTTCCCATTGATGGAATATTGGCCGGCCTATCAATAAGATAGATAACTCATTGCTTATGTCATATGGAAATAAATACATGTCTATTTAGCATATGGATACGAGTGTTAAAAACGAATACTAAAAAAATATTTAGGCAACATTTTATAATATATAAGTTTAGAGAAAATATAAAATGGGGGTAATTATCGTAAATATACATTAATTTAAACTTAATTGGAAAAAATCTCCAAACTTTCGTAATCCTCATCTACATTTTTTTTTCTCATTTTTTACTTTTTTTTGGACCAAATTAACTGTCACGGTAATCGTTTTACCGTGAATAACATTACAGTACTTTAAGTACCGTAATAGTTAGTGCATTATATACCGTACTATAAGTCCCGTACTACTTAGGAAATTTTATACGGTACTTTAAGGACCATAATACTCAAGGAATTTTTTATGGTACTTTATGTACCATAAAACTTAGGGCATTTTATACGGTAGTTTAAACACTGCAATTTCATAGGCATTTTATACGAAAATTTTAATGTCGTAATATCTCGAATGTTTATTACGGTACTCGAACTACTGTAATTATCTCTCACCTTTTCTAAATCCATTTCTTTATCATAAAACCCTATTTTCACGATTTCTTTATTAGCCTCCCCTCTCTCTCATACTCTCATCCATTGCTCATCTTCCTTAGCCTCTCCTCTCCCTCACTCTTATCCATTGCTCATCTTCCTTAGTCTCCTCTCTCTCTCATCCATTGAGCTTATTGTAAGCAACAATAATGAGTGACAACATAGTGGAAATCGTTTTACACTTTCACGGTTTTTTCATTAGGTAATCTAATGATGGACGTATTTCCTATGACGTTGGGAACATAAAGGTTATATTTTTTAGGGGGATCCCATCATTTGACCAAGTAAAGGATTACTTGTCAAATTTATCAAATTATGCCCAAGTTCTATGACTACTAGGTATATTGACTTAAGGTTATCAAGTAACGGTAATATGATACGTATTGATGATATTGATGATGATGACGGCATTACAAATATGATGGAAGAGTTCTTCTCCGATCACTATGTATGTATCAAACAGACATATTGAGTCTGACTCCATTGAATATCAACCACTAACAGTACTTGATAATGGTCCATCAAGATTGGACATGTAAGAAGTTTGTAATGGAATTCATTATTTATTTATTTATCAATATTTTGTTATGGATTTGGATAATTCTCAATTGTTTTTCAAATTTTATTTCGATAGCAGTTCTCGACCAGAGCATGTATCAAATAGATCTATTGAGTCCGACTCCACTGAATATCGACCACCAACAGTGCCTGATAATGGTCCATCATGAATGGTCATGTAAGAAGTTTGCAATGAAATTCATTATTTATTTATTTATCAATATTTTGCTATGGGTTAGGATAATTCTCAATTGTTCTTCAAATTTTATTTCGATAGCAGTTCTCGCCCATAGCACGCATCAAACAGACTGAGTCCGACTCCACTGAATATCGACCACCAACAGTGCCTGATAATGGTCCATCAAGATTGGCCATGTAAGAAGTTGTAATGGAATTCATTAATTTTTTTATTTATAAATATTTTGTTATGTGTTAAGATAATTCTCACTTGTTCTTGATTTTTTTTTTTGACACCAACTTCCGATCAGAGCAATTAGTTCACAGTGAAGGTGCTGCTGGCATAGACGTAGAAGATGAGCATGATTCAAAAATTGAGCGGCATATTGACGACATCAATCAGTTAGAAAGCCCCATTTGGATTAACCGTTACGAAGTTGTACTTCGACAGGGTTAGGATTTTGATGACGTGCAGACATACTGTAATCACCTTATTGATTATGTCATATCACAAAACTTCAATATAAAGTTTATAAAAAGAGATGTGCATGGGCGAGGTGTACTACAGATGGGCGTTCATGGCAAGTGCGCTGTTGGAGGCTTAATACAACAAACTTCTTCAAGGTGAAGAAGTTTGTAAGCAGGTACTCATGTGCTTGTGGAATATGTAGAGTTCATCAGCCGCTTGCCCGAAGCTATTGGGTGGCAAGCAAGATCAAAGACCGTTTAAATGATATGCTCAATCTAAGACCTGGAGATGCGATTAACGTTATACAACGTGATCACTGTGTCATGCTATCTTACCAACAAGCATGACGGGGCAAAGATGTTGCGCAAAAGATAAATAAGGGTTCCCATGTGAAGGCATACGAGGATCTCGCCAAGTACCTAATAAGATCCGAATTACTAACCC